AGTACTGGCATGAAGACTATTACCCATGCTACACCATGCTTCAAGATAAAATTTCATTTATTTGTAGTTAGAAATAAATATTTCACAATATATAATTATATATTATTTTTGTGATTAATCACTATGCTTTATGTTAAATTTGTAACAATGAAAATACATCCTGCATATCAGATATTTACATTACAATTCATAACAGTAGCAAAATTATAGTTATGAAATTGCAAGAGAAATAATTTAATGATTGGGGGTCACCACAACATGAGAAACTATATTAAAGGGTCACGGCATGAGGAAGGTTGAGAACCACTGGGCTGAATGGTTCATTCTGTATAACAGGAAGAATGATAAGAATGATATAACTTCAGATTTCTTTGAAGATTACATGGAACCTTACTGAGTGCTCACTCCATGACCCCGTTGTTTGAAGACTTTTATGTGAACTATCATTTAATCTTTTTAGGAATTCTATGCAGAATTGTGTATTGTGGTGCCTGTTTTAAGGATGAGGGAAATTCAGGCTAAGATTTTAAGTAGATACCCACATGTATATAGTTGGCAGGTAACAGAATCAGAATATTAATTCATCCTGACACACACTACTGACATTTCTCATATGTAAGGCATTAAAAAAAATCCAAATCCATACCCACTGCCGTCAAGTTGATTCTGATTTCCTGACTACCAACCCTATAAGGCTGAACTGTCCCGTTGGGTTTCTGAGAGTGTGTAAGACTTGATCGGAGCAGCCTCTTTCTTTCATGTCAACACCTACCAGGCAGTTAAATATTTATCATTTTACTCAGCACAAGTTGTCAAAATACCTTAAATATATTTCCAGGGAAGCCAACTCACTGCCCTCGAGTTGATTTCATTGGTGAAATACTCCATATGTTTGCCAAAAATCATATGAGATATGATTCAAAATAATAGGCATTCAGTGGGCTTTCCAGTTTCTTTTCCATATAAATGTGCCTTTTGCTTGGTATCTAAGGGGCTGTCTACTCCCCTAAACATTGACAGTCTTGGAAATTCCCAGGGGCAATTTTCCCCTGTCCTATAGGGCTGCTATGAGTTGGCGTCAAGTAGATGGCGGTGAGTCCCTTTGTGGTTCAATGCTTCGCTGTTAGCTGAAAGGCTGGTGTTTTAACCCTCTAGCTTCTTTGTGGAAAACAGGTCTGGCAATCTGTTCCTAAAGATTACCATGTAAACAGTCACATGGGGCAGTTCTGTTTTGGGGAAGTTATGAGTCGAATGAACTAAGTGACATGCAGCAAAACAATTCTTTACATTTAGAGGCATTGCTACAAAACTATGACAATTTACTAATTTATAATAAGGACTTTGCTAATAGTATGTTAATCTGACATTCAACTGTTAAAAGACTATTGATGAGGGATGAATTACAAACTAGACCAGGCTCAGGGAACTCAGTTTGTATTGACCATACGTGATGTGAACTTTTAAGAGTACTAATTTCTCAAGCACAGAGGTGTGAGGGGACAATGATCTGGTCTGCTTCTTCATTCCACTCACCAAGTTAACTCTCAGGAAGGGAGTCAGTTGTAGGAATGGAATTGACTCAGGTCCCTCCCAGCATAAAGAGTTGGTTGATAGCAGGAAGAAGGAAGACTGGGAACAAATGAGGGAACTGGGTTGAGACACAGCTGTGAGAAAGTGATAAATTGAAGGGACATGGTCTTTAATTATATTCTACAGTTTTGGCCAACATTATATGCTGCAGTGTAATTCACTGATTAGGGGATTTGCATAGTTTTGGAGAGGTATCCTTCACAAATGTCAAGTGTCTTCTGAAAAAGGGATTTGGAGTAAAAGGAAGAGAGAAATGCCACTTTGTTCTTTCTTGCAATTAAAAGGTTCGAATGTGCAAGCAGTCCCTCCACCCTCCTATCTTTTAACACGAAAAGTGTCATAAAATTGTTCGAAAAGAATCCTGGTATAACAATGTACAGAAAACCATTTGTTATGATTGCCTCAAGGGTTAATTTTGTAACTCATTGTCAGTACAGTTGATCAATCACTTTGGAACTAAACTGTGTACAAACTTTTAGCTTGGGTGATTATCAGAATTTAAGTCAAAATCCAGGTATATGTAGGCCTTGGAAGAAGCAATCGCTAACGAAAAAAGAGGAGAGCATATGAAAATCACATTAAACTTAGGCAGCAACACCTAGGCAAATTTACCAGTGTGAATTTGTCTAAAAGCACATAATTCCCAGATTTGGAATTATATGCATGTAAATAGATCACACCCATGCACATACATAATTTCATAAAGTACAGAAAATTTCTGACTTTTATTTTAAAGAACAGTATGATGGTGTGATTGTTCTCTTTCTTTTTTTCAGGTGGTATTTTTGAATATGTGGAATCTGGCCCAATGGGAGCTGAGGAACTTGCATTCAGATTTGCCGTGAACACAATTAACAGAAATAGAACTTTATTGCCCAATACCACCCTAACCTATGACACTCAGAAGATAAACCTTTATGACAGCTTTGAAGCATCTAAGAAAGGTAATTGATAGATACGTAATATTCTATTTGTTGAAATCAAATTTCAAGGTATTCTTAGAAATTTCTCAATTCCAAGATGGGACTAATATGTTACTAGGAATATTTTAACAAAAGAGTTTCTTTTACTAAGGATACTTTTGACAACCTTTACTTTATATATACTCTATGTTCACTTTTTTAATCACTTAATGTTTGTCATGCCTGAAAATAAATATAAAATGATATAAAATTAGATTACATAGAAATTAGAATGCCTTCTACATTACATTATTTTTCTTAAATTGTGTTGAAAATTATATTTTAAATGATAAGAAGGTGAAAATAATTCATGCAACATGAATCTAACATTTATTTGGGAAGGAAGGAAATACAGAAACTATTCTATTCTCTTACTTTAAGTAAATGTATCTGACACCTATTTTTATAGCTTCATTGAACCCAAGTAGTTGATTTTTCTGTTACACAGCTCACATTTATACAATAGAAATTGCATTTAAAATACAGATTTTCCTAAAAGAAGCCGATTGTTTTAACTTTATATATTTAAAAGATGTTTGCATTTATGTACTATTAATATTGTTTTTTTTGCTATCTTACATTGATAAAAATTTACATAATTATTCGTCATTCTATCTTGGCACGGATTTCATCTAAACTAATTAATATTAATAGTAGCTGATGAGGCACAATATTTTTTTAGATGAATGTTCCTTTTTTCTCTCTAAATAGCAACTGTTTATCAAAACCTATTAAGAGGGTACCTCAAAAAATTCATAGAAAAATTGTATTGTGCCTGACCTTTGAATTCATACATTTTTAAGTACAAATACGCTTCCCACTTTCAGAACCATATCAGGATGAGGGTAGGTTTTAAGGGCTATAAAAGGTTAAAGGTTACTGCAAAATATGACATCTGTCATCATAATCGCAAAATAAGACATTAACCGCAAGACAAGTGCATTTGATTAGTGACATAGTACATAATTATTTCCATTAGAAAGAAGCAGCTCTGCTTCAAATGAAGGCATTTAGACTAAATAATATGGGATATGGCACGGTATAAATAACATACCAATAGACTTCTAAATGGTGCTTTCAAAGGAAGAACCTTAAAAAACAGACTAAAATGTTCCAACAGCACAAAGGTCACTAGGAATGACCTAGCAAAATTATGAGGTGAAAAGTTTCCAAAATATTAGGAGAACTTACAATGTTATCACCCATTAAAAACCTATTAAAATCAAATACTTCCACTGTCTTTGTCCTGAAGCTAGAAAAAACTCACATCAGTGCATGAGTACCTTTTTTTTGGTGAGACTTGAAGAGTGGATGCCAGTGCTTCGGGTTTCATCCCCTGAGGTCCATTCTTCTTGAACCATTGTCCTTGACAGACACAGGGACTTGTTACCAAATAATGTCAGAGAGAGAGGAGCCAATATAGTTTTTAAAGCTGAGGGGCTCAGTAAATATATGTTAGTAAGGCTAATGACTAATGAAGGAGTCCCGGTGGTGTTCTTGGGTAAGCTTTGGACTATAAGGTGAGCCGTTCAAACCCACCAGACTCTCCCCCATAGTAATTTTAAACTATCTGCTTGGAAACCCTCTGTGTCCAAATCGGCTCAATGGCAGTATGTTGGACTGGTTAATTATAAAATGACCTAGATGTTTAATTTTGAATTTTAATATTTTATAAATTATTTTTAAAACAAAGGAAAAGAAGCAAAATTTCTAAGTGTTCATACTTACTCTGTTTAGTCTTACACGTTTCATCGGTAATATTGATCTCATCCATTGATGAATACTTTGATGAATTAATGTTCCAGTTTTTATTTCAATTATATTTTGCTGTTAAATAGTTTCTCTGATAACTGAACACTCTGGTTCTTATTTCACAAACTTCCAAACCAAGTTCACTGTCAGCAAGTCGATTCCGACTCCAGGTGACCTAGTACAACAGGTAGCACTGCCCCTGTGGGCTTCTGAGGCTGTAACTCTTTAGGGGAGCAGAAAGCCTGGCCTTTCTCCTGCTCCAACACACATAGGAACATCCCAAATAACCAGCTTAAAGTCATGTTTTGAAGGTTTTTTCTCCTTTTTGTTTTGTTAAAAAGCCTCAATGTATATGTAATAGAAAGTTCACATTGAGTGAACAAATCTAGGCTTGAAAAATAGTACATTCAGGTAGTCTTGTTAAATTTTGTATATAGAAGATTTTTTTTTTTAAACAAGCGCATAAGCAAACAAACAGCCACCCATAATTGCCCTGTATTTGCTCATTGTAGTTTGAAATGTGCTTTGGACTTAACAAAGCCTTCCTACTGATTCAGAATTCCAATCATTATCTGAAAAGAGAAAATGTACATATTCAAAAATATTTATTTAGATTAAATTAAATGTTTAAAAAACTTCAAATATGAATTATCACCACTATATTTTGCTCAGTTATTAAATACTTCAGTAGTTAATATATCATCCATCACTTTAAATTTTAGATGTACTTTAGTACATATTCCCCATGGAAATATCCCAGAAAATTTTTGCACAATCGAATTATATCCAAGTTAGGGGAATTGATTCTGAACACCCAGTTGATGCCTAAATACTGGTAATAACCCTCTTTAGTTCTGTTTAAATATTTGCAAAAGATGGCAAATCATTTTCCTTTGGAATAGTCTATACAGCATTGCTATGAATCAGAGTCATCTCAATGGCAGTGAGTGTTTTTAATTCCATTTGTGGATATTTCCTATTACATATTTTTAAAATACATATTTACATTGAATCAAAAGCTTTAAGGATCTTCAAGCTAATTGTCCTAATTCTTACTTTGGCAGTCAAATGAAAGATGCTTAAGCCTCTTCAACAGTCCGGCTCTTCAAATATTTAAAGATAATTTTTATGTTTATCAAATTACTTCATTTTCTAGCCTAGAATTTGCTAGTTGTTTTAGTGTAGTTTCAAGACCTGACACAGACCATCCTTTCTGGTATGAATAAACACTAATTTATGCTTTTTTATGCTATTGTGATTATTATGAGTATAAATAAATTTTCCTAAGAGTGAATATAAAATACAAACTTAAAAAATATATGCTCAGAAAATATAAAAGGCTTATATTATCCAAAAATTAAATAAAGAATAGTGAATACTTATAAAACACTTTCATTTTCTCTCACACTTGAGGAGATTGATCCATGTGGCATCACTTTGTATGAACCATGTCTCGTTTTATATGCATGACTGTATACAAATCTTGACCCATGTCATGTGTGTAAGCATTTAACTCATACCATGTATTTAACTGTGTGCAGCTATTGTTCTTTGAGTGGTTAGCTGGGAGCAAATTATTTTTGTTGAAGAATTTTCCATTTGGATTTCAGTAATACTATAGTATCTGTTGGCTGGTTTCTCTTCTCTTTGATAGACCTCTTTCTTCTTTTCAGCCTGTGATCAACTATCTCTTGGGGTGGCCGCCATCTTTGGCCCTTCGCACAGCTCTTCCGCAAACGCAGTCCAGTCCATCTGTAATGCTCTGGGTGTTCCCCACATACAAACCCGCTGGAAACACCAGGTGTCTGACAACAAAGATTCCTTCTATGTCAGTCTCTACCCAGACTTCTCTTCACTCAGTCGTGCTATTCTGGACCTGGTTCAGTTTTTCAAGTGGAAAACCGTTACAGTAGTGTATGATGACAGCACTGGTAAGAAAAACAGCCTTGTGCCTGCACTTTAAATATAGATTTTAAAAAATTCATTCCATTTTATTATTATTATTATATACAGTGTTTTGTTTAATTTAAAAGTTGGAAAAAGCTTTTGGTACCAAATACCAATACTAATTTTGCAGATTCAAATGGCAACCTAATCATAAACACTTTCTATATATTTGTTAAATTGGTACATTTTAATCATTTCGTTTAAACAGTATTATTTGGGAAAAGGATAGAAATTGTATGTAGTATAATACTGAAACACTTATTTGAAAAATTTCCCTTTAACTTAAGGTAACTTTCTTAAATAAAAAAAATCTCATGACAGGTTTACAGTGAAACCAATCAAGAAAGAATACAATTTTACTTTATTTCTTTAGCTGTTTATATACCAAAAATCCCCACACATTAAAATAATAACTTATGTCTATATGACATACAAATGGTTAAAAAGAGTGTTCTCAATGGGGAGCACTATGGTACCCTTTGAAATATGTGTTATAATTGCTTATATGCAGGTATAGTTTAGACATATGTGAAATTAAATTTACTAATTGATTTTTTTGTGTGTTGGAGTCTTAAGTGACTATTGTAATGATTATTTGCTATTTAGAGGTTGAATTTACTTTCTTGTTTTAATGTGTTCTAATATTTTGTACATTAATGGTAATCACAAGGTTTCAGTGAAAAATAAGTCTAATAGATTTAGGGAAGAAAATGAGCAGGTTAATGTTTCAATTTTCCTTAGTAGTTCTATTTGTGATCAGGTAATTATGTAGGTAGGGATTTCATGTTAAGAGAGTTTTAAAAAATAGAATATAGAAAGCTCTTCATTTTCTAGTGGATTTCCATTTACCTTCATTTATTTGTATCTAAATTGACATTTATTTGAATGTGAATTCTTCAGAATGAACACAGAGCTCATTTCCTTACCCATGCCGTATACTGAACCATGTGTAGAAATTGCTTAATTTGCCTTAAAATTTGCCATCTGCAAATTGCTAACTACAGGGTTGGAAAAATAATGAAACTAATTTAAAAAACATTTTCTTTGGGATTAAAAAAAAGTGAGTTCAAATATAAATCAGTAAATTTAGGCTTCCTGAATAAGAAATATAAGATTTTTATTATTTTTAACTTATTGATTGTACATTAGGTGATGATTTACAGAGCAGATCATTAGTTTTATTTCCAACAAGCCATACTGATTTTCCTTTCACAACTCATTCACTGGAATCTCCTTGATGAATAATCAGTTACCCCTCTTCCTTCCTGTGTTTCTTGTTTCCATTCCTACTTCTCATCCAGCCCTCTCTCTTGAGTAAGTACTGCTCTTTTGACCTTAAATAGTTATTCTGATACAGGTGTGACTTCAGTTTCAGACCTGAAGGGTATCTAGGGCCGTAGTCGTAGGGTTCTTAACCAGTCTATCCAACCATTTGACTTGTTTTTTTGTATAATTTTGTGCTTTGTCCCAGATTTTTATCATACTCTATCCAGGACCATCCTTTCAGAGCAGTTGGTAGTGGTAACTGGGCACCATTTAGTTCCTCTGGTCTCAGGGTTTCGGACACTGATGTTTGTGTAGGTCAGACTAGTTGTTTCCCCGTGTATTTCAATTTTGCCTCTTCTTTCCTCCAGATGGAAAGGGCCTATAGCATGTTAGATGGCCATTTGTGAGCCTTTATGTCCCCAGGTGCTAGTTTCCAAAGCAGGGTGTAAAACATCATCGGTGTGAACTATGTTATGCTACTTGACCTTGATGTTCCCCAAGGCTATGGGCCTGATCCCCCTAGAGGCCCAGCAGCTCAGCTTCAAGGTGTTTGGCTATGTCTAAGAAGTTTTAATAACTTTGCCTCTGTATGCAACATCATGTTTATAACTACATTTTAAGCAAAGGTAAATTTACACAAACTCACAAATCCCCTGCCAAACCTTTGGCTATTCATAGATACATGCTCAGACATCCTTCACACCTGTTCAGTGTGTTTGTCTCTCCAAGAATCACTCTCAGATGACCACTGCTGCAGGATTGTGTACAGCAATATGTGCCTGTGTTTTCTTAAACGCTGGAAAGGCTCCCAGTGTCTCTCTTTGTCTCCATAGTTTTTACTCGAACCTTCCTCTCATTGTATATTGTCTTCTCTTTCACCCAAACTAACACTTGTCTACCCGTTTTTAATTTAGAATTTTGTTAATAAAAGTGTTTAAAACTATGTTTGATGTGGGGTTTTTTTTTGCGTAAAGTTGTAACTACTAAATTCACGGCATTATGTTCTAATTCCCAAATCATTATCATTCTGCCAATGGTTAAGTGCTAGATGCCACTTTTTGAATGACAGGTTCTGTGTGAATGATCTCCTGAATTTGTATAATGTGGTGGTGTGGGATATCTGTAGTTACAAGTTGTACCCATGTTTATGCATGACAATACACATAAATACATATGCATTGTAAATCAATTAGTTTTTATATTTCTTCGTTTTCAGTAAATATTACATACCCTCATACAGATATATTTTAACATGTAAATGTCATATGTTATATATAGTATATATATATATATTGTGTGAAAGCATCTGTAATACATATGTTATTTTGTTTTTATTTCTTATTTATTTAAAAATTCCTGATGGTAGCAAAAGATTTTTAGGTGCTCTAAATGTTTATGGATATACAATCTTTCTATCCTATTCTATGTGTTTGGCTACTATTGTAATTTACTTTATATGTATGGTTTAGGAGTGATTGAATAAAGACAACGGGATTTGTGATCAAGGTCATATTAAGGAAAAGTATATATGTGACTGATCTATCCCTGATTTAGATCATATGCTAAACATTTATATCGTTGAAGACAATTTAAATACAAAAATATCACTTGTTATGAGTTACATTCATTCAATAGAGACCTGACTTTAGATGACATTTTTTGAAACAGTTTGAGTTACTATTAAAAGCTTTTCCACTTCCATTGCTTTGAAGGTGATAGAAATACTTGTTCAGTCTAATAATCTACTTCCAAAAGTTCAGAGCCTTAAGGAGCATTTCTAATATGTACGTAGGTGGTTACTGTGTTGTCTAAATTAATATTCTCTAATATACTTCTTTGGGTCCTAATATCTGTTTCAATGGCTACACAGAACTCACAGACAAAATTCATGATTAAAGGTGTTATTAAGGAAGTTAGCAAGTTATAATGCCAGTGAGAAATACTCAGGGTAGAATTATTTATCAGGACACAGCACAAAGTTCTTTTAGGTCTGCTAATAAATGTCCAAAGGGCATGCCACTCTGCTGTCTCAGCCTGAAGGCATCCAGCCCAGCTCTATGGATCAGCAAACCCAGCTCACTGTATGGAGTGTTTAGAGGCACCCCATTCCAGTAGCCTCAGCCCTGAAGTGTTCTGTTCTATTTCTGTGGATCAGCAAGTCCAAATTCTCCAATTAAGTACTCAGAGGCATCCCACTACATTAGCCAGCCTCCTGCACAGAAGCATCCAATTTTACCTGCTCCCTGGGTTGGCAAGTCCATCATTCTGGTCCATGCTCTGGTTTCTGGTTCTGTTGCTGCTCCTTTAAAGTTGTAACTGTCATCTGCATCCAGCAGGTTCACTGTACCAAGACTCATGTTGCTCCTGGATCTTGCTGGTCATGAGATCCCTTCTGGATATATACTATTGAAGATAACAGCATAATTTATTTATTTTCAAGCACCTATAGAAGGCTATGTGATGGTGCATACTTTCAAGATAATCTGTAATAGACTGATCGTATTTGTAGCAGACCATTTATGGCCCACTTAAATTGAAGCAACTTTTGAGAACGTAGGTGTTCTTGATATGATTATAGTAGAACTGACTCGATGGTAAGCAGAAGTGTCCCTTTGAAATGCATTCCTTAGTATATAAAATGAGTGTATTGGTCTGAGTTGACTAGAGAAACAAATCCAGAGACACTCATATGTGTATAAGAAAGAGCTTTATATACAAGAGTAATTGAATATTGAGAAAACATCCCAGCCCAGTCCAGACCAAGTCCGTAAGTCCGACATTAGCCCCTATGTCTGATACTAATCTATAAATTCCTCTTCAGACTCACACAACACATAATATGATGCTGAATGCAGGAAGATCACAGGCCAATGTGTGGAAAGTCTTGTGGCTCCAGTGGCAGTAGAAGCATCTCAACACTGGTGTGGGTCTCCATGTGGCTCCTCCAGCTGCGGCCTTTGGCTGCATCAGCATAGCTCCATCAGGCTCATCTTCAGCAATGCCTTGCAGGGAGTGAGCGAATGTCCCACCTTCAGTGAGCTATTTATCTCTTTAGCACCTCCAAACGAGGTCAACAAGCTGCGACCCAATTGACTGGCTAAACTCTACCGCTTTGCTCTTTATTCTCAAATTAACAACAGATTATGTGTCTATCACAAGCAGTTTTAGTTCCTTAAGTATCCTTAAATATGTTCAAAATTCTTCAGGTAGAATTTTAATGATAGCACAAACCATCATTTATAAACTTCAGATTTTGAATTTTAACAAAGCTAATGAAACTAAAAATAAAACTTTGGCACTCGAATACAATATAATACACATTAAGTCAACTTATAGGAAGGAGTGCTGAGCTATGATTTACTTTCAGAACTTCTGCCTCCCTTTCTAATGCTCATAAGATAGTATTATTTCCAAGAATATCATTGGATATTGAGTTTAAGTAACAGATATCTATTTGATGATATGTGAAGAAATTTGATTATAGCTAGGCCTGTGGACTGAAATGGGGACACCCCATCTCATATGTATCAAGATATATATTTATTGGTTCCCTTACCAACCTGTGCATCTGCTGTTCACTGTAGGACACACCTGTGCTACTTTACATGCACGTTTCTTATTTCTGTTCTAGATTTAGTTGTTATGTGTGCCGCTCCTTCCATGTATAATCATTTCTGCTTTGTGTTTTGTCCAGTTTGATACAAGATAATTGTCCATT